GGAAGTAACCGTTGTTCCTGTCATTTGGGATAACATCACCCAGGTATTGAATTCTTGGGAGTGCCTATGTCTGCACTCAATACACCTCTGGAAGCTTCCTCCTTTGTACTGACATCACCTATCTAATCCACACCCCACACGTTCTAATCTCACCCAAGGATAGCAGAAGCGTTCACAGTTCTGAGGGCAATTGATGTTTTCAGGTAGCGGTGGTTGTTGGTTCATTGGTGATATTAGAGATCAGAGTGTCCTTCTCAAGCCTGGGGCGAACCCATTTCGCTGGTATCCTTCAGAGTCCTTTGTCTGCAATGACACAAGCATAACCCTTACCCCACATTAATAAATCTGCACGTCCTTCCCATAACCATGTCATAGGATTTTTAAAACAAATTTTCGGTCGGTGCTGTATCAATTCAGAATCTTGCTGCAAACCTGAGTAATGTGTTATTGCTGGTGGTTCACTACGATTACCTACTAACCATAGATGATTCGTAACATAAACTGCTTTCAGCACTCTGTCCTGTAGACTCAGCCCATCCTCCCCTGTTTTTTGTTTATCAAGCAGCCCTTTCAGTACCTGATGTGTTCTTTCAATGATAGCTTGTCCTGTGGAGTTACGTGGAATACCTGTGCTATGCTTCACTCCCCAACAAGCCAAGAAATCTTGGGTCCGTCGGGCTATATATCCTGGCCCATTGTCCGTCCTGATTTCCTGTGGCAAGCCCATTACGGCAAAGCAGCCTCGCAAGTGTCGAATGACAAAACAAGATCCTTTGCTTGTCATAGGAGTGGCCCAAATCATGGCAGAAAAGGTGTCTATGGTTGCATGAATGACTTTAAAGCAACCAAATGGGGCGTAGATAGTTACATCAGTTTGCCATAACTGCAAGGGCCCCAGGCCCCGAGGGTTGACCTGAGGACCCAATCCGCCAATCATGCCCTGGCATTGCGGACCGGTTGTGACAATTCCTTGAGCATCCTGCAGCGATATTCCTAGTTGTTTGTGTAAAACTTTTGCACTTTTTAGTGAAAAAACTCCTGAGCCCTTCTGGCCTGGGCAAACTTATCAATGTTAGGAGAAGCAGAGGCGCAAAGTGGTGCCACCAATTGGTCAGCTTTCTCGTTTCCTAAGGCCAGGCCTCCCGTCAATCCAGAGTGACTCCGTATATGGGTGTCCTGGTTCAGGGCAAATTTGGGAGAGAACCCCCAAAGGGGTTCCTCTAGGAAGCAGATTCAATCGACCCCTCCCCCCAACCGGTTTGGGAAAAAATACCTATGAAAAATGCCAATCACTTGGTTTTTAAAATTTTAAAATTTCAATAATAATAAAATTATTATAAAAATAGTAATACAATTAAAGTAATAAAATTTAGAGTTAGGACAATTACAAGACAATAAAAAGCAAAGAATTATGGACGTCCAGATGCTCTCGGACACTAGGTCACGAAAAGCATACCTTGTGAACAAAGGAATAACCTTAAAAGCAATACCCTGTTGTATGTTCATATATCTCATACATGATGCATAAATTCCTTGCAAATTAAGAACTTTTCTGGTTTTTGTCAACTTCTTCTCCTTAATCCTGTTGGCTCCACAATGACGGAGAGAAGGTGGAAGAATGTTTGTCTTTTCTGATAAGGAGGCTGTAACTTTTTATGGGCCCCCTTTGCTGACATCTCTGTGTGAAGAGTTTCTTGATTATCTCATCTTCCTGCTTGAGCTTGTAACAAATCCTATATCGCAGAGTTTCTATTTTAACATTATGTTGTAACCTAAAACTACATTTAACACACTACGTAAGAGAATTAATACAGCATAACTTTCTAACATTACACGTATAATACTCATTGTAACATTTGCGAAAAGCCAATCATAAAGTATGCATTTTTCACAATATCTCTTTGGAGAAAAGTGGAAAAATCTGTTTATTAAACAAGAAAACCTAAACAATATTAAACAATAAAACTTCTTGCCGCTCCAAAAGAGAGACAAACTCAGAAAGTCCCCTCCCCGGGCTGCAGTTTGGTTCACTCAGTCTGTTATCAGTCCCTCCGATGCTGGAAATGCCGCGGCCCAGGCCAGGCCTGGTGGGCCACAGGTGCAAGGTGCCGGTGCTCTTCTGGGTGTTCAGTTCCAGAGCAGGTTTGAGCAGGTCCAAAGAAAAGGAAAAGCCCCGGTCCAGGGAACTTCTTTGCCTCAGCTAGCTAAAACTAACTAAAAGCAAAGGAGCATTCTGTCTCGCTGTCTGTCCATCCACAGACAACACAGTCCAGGAGCGGGAATGTGGAGGAGTGAGTGCCGTTTCTGAAAACAAACTCCGCACTTCTTCTCCCCCCCTTCACTCCTGGAACAAGTCTTAAAGGTGCAAAACTTATTATTCAGCATAAACAGAACAGACAATTGGGGATAAAAGTATCATACAGTCAACACAGGACAATGGGTAATAAAATAATCCTGCTTGCGAGAATTAAGTAACTGCCACAGTTGCAAAAAGACTTGCCACAGCCGCCGGTTTTGAATTTCCTTCAGTAATGCTTGCTCCATGCGCTCGACAACACCTACTACGTAGAGAGAACCAGAAGCAATGTTAACGGGATCATTTGGCCATTTTTTAAACACCCTGATAACAGCACATAACTCAAGAACCTGTAAAGAGTCTCCTGGCCCCTCAAGGATTTCACTGAGCCATTTGCCTTTGTACTGCCAAGTAAGACCTGCTTTAGAAATCTTTTGAATGGCATCAGTAAAAACCATGAGGCCTTCTACAGGTTGCCTTGATAGCCAAGGTAGTTCTTCCACCTGTTGATGCAAAGAAAAAAAGCTTATGAGGGGGAAAATGAGTGCTAATGAGACCTGGAAAGTTCAACAATGCCCATTGTAAGGTATCTGAATTCTGTAATGACTATTGCAAATAGTCCTTTGTTAATGGGAGAAGAATATTTTGGGGTTCCATTCCTGCAATTTCCACTGTCCGCTTCCGTGCCTTGATCACAATTTTTACTATAGCCTCCATTCGCGTGGTCAAGGATTTTTTCAAATTAAATGATAAAAACTCCCATTCTGACATTTGTAGTGGCTGTTTAGCCTGGCCATCCCACTGCATTAGTATAGCCATCACGTGTTTTACTTTATTCAGCACAGCCACGGACAATGTCAAAGTAGGGAACCAACGATCTGCAAAGGAATTACCCAATTTTGTGGCAATTTGAGTCAGAGCCTTCTGTTGTTTTTCAGTCAGTTCGTGCAGCACATTGGCCTGATTTCGCCCCTTTAATAATGGCATTAGGGGCTCGAGGTCTTCATTAGTTATGCCACAAGTACTATGAATCCACTGTATGTCCCCAATTAATTTTTGAACATCCAATTAAGTCCGAATTTATGTACAAATAGTTAATTTTTGGGGCCAAATTTGGGCTTCAGTGATAAGCATACCCAAATATTTCCATGGGGCCTGTTGTTGGACTTTTTCAGGAGTAATTTGAAGGCCTGCCTCTTGTAATTGTTGCTGTAAGGCAGGTAGCAGGGTTGCTGTATCTAGATGTTCTCCTGCTATAAGAATATCATCCATGTACTGATAGATAAAATACTGTGGGTATCATTTTCTCAGCGGAGCTTGCTCCCAGGCAACATACAGTTGGCACATCATGGGAGAATTTCGCATCCCTTTTGGCAATACAACCCATTGATACCTCTTTGCTGCCTCTGCCTGGCACTGAGAAGGCAAACTTCTCACGGTCATCCTTGTGCAGGGGGATTGTGAAAAAACAATCTTTTAGGTCGATAATTAACAGTTTCCAATTGACAGGTAACATTGATGGCGAGGGTAGGCCGGGCTGCAGGGGTCCCATATCCTGCATTACGGAATTAATGGCTCGAAGGTCATGTAATAACCTCCATTTTCCTGATTTTTTAGGGATTGTGAAAATGGGTGTGTTCCAGGAGCTCATAGAGGGTATGATATGCCCCCTTTTCAGTTGCTCATCAACCAATTCATTGACATGGGCAAGCTTTTCTTTAGACAGTGGCCATTGATCAACCCAGATTAGGGTTTCTGTTAACCATTTTAATTTTAGGATTGGCTGCCCCTCAATGGGCACCGCTAAAAACCCTCATTGGTAAGACAGAAACCCATCTGGCTGAATGCGTCCCGTCCCAGCAGCCAGATTGTTGTAATCATCACATAAGGTCTCACCTGAACACAGATGTGCATCTTCATCAATTTACACTGTTAAGAATGTTTTACTAATTTGAGTCATTTGCACGCCTCCCACCCCCGTAACTGGTGTCTCCAGGGTATTCAGAGGCCATGTTGCAGACCATGCAAACAAGGGAAAAATGGTGACATCTGAATCCATGTCCAGCAATGCGGCTTTTGTTGTGAGAGTTCCTCCATTGGGGTGCTGAAACTGGTTTTGCTGTTTTTTAAATAGGTTTAACTGGTTTTGCTCCCGATAATGGTAATGTAAGCATGACCTGAGGGGTTCCTGTTGACCCAAAACCTCCATTCTCCCTCAGCATGATCCCTTGTCTAGGAACCTTGGTCTTAAAGGGAACTAACTGTGCCAGTGCTGTGCCTTTTGGAATGTGGATGGGTGGCCTCAATGTTTGCATCATTATCCCAATATTGCCTAAATAATCTGCATCAGTTAGTCCAGGCAAAACAAAAATGCCTTGCTTTGATGTGGATGATCTCCCTATCAGCAGGGCACTAAGTCCATGCCCTAAGGGTCTGTTTGCTGTTGATGAGATGACCTGTGCATCAGTGTTTTCCAGGGTTGCTGCTATTGCTGCATCCAAGTCTACTCCTGCACTCCCTGCTGTTGCTGAGTGGAGGATGTCCAGGCAGCCGCCTGGTTGTGGGGGAGCATTTGTGTCATTGCACATCCCCTCTTCACACTCTGTTTCCCGTTTCCCTACAGTGTTCCATCTTTCTTGCATTTCAACTGAAATTCTGGTTCGATGACTGTCACTGCACCTTCCCAAGTCTCAGCTAGCACTAGTGCCTTGGCCGGGGATCGAACCCAGGCTGCCTGCGTGGCAGGCGGGAATTCTACCGCTGAGCCACCAGGGCTGTTGCTAGCTTCCCAAGTCTCGGCTAGCTAAGTACCTTTAGCACTGCGGCAGCAAAGGCCACTCTCGTGTGCCGCTGGGGGCACGAGGTATGGCCAGTGGGAAACGAAGCCACCAGACTGGAAGAGACGCAGAGCGACTCTGACAAAAGCAAGGAGCCGTCCTTCTGAGGGTATCTGTGTTCCGAGTTTATTGGCTCAAAGAAGATAAGCTCCAAAAGGCGATGGGCACCATGTGCCCTGCTTGGTAAAGGGGGGTGGTAACAAGGGGAGGACACAGAAGCCAACCAATGGGATAACAACTGGGGGTGGTAACAGGGGTGACACGCAGGCGAAACTTCCAATGAGGTAGGAGGGAGGGAGGGGACCCCGGAGACCAGCTTATCACTCGAGGCCCTGGATGGAACTTTCTAGGTGGAAGGGAGAGGTCTCTGAAAGACAGACAGGCTCTGGGGTGGGGTTGGGGGGGATAACTCAGTAGGAATACAGTGAACTGGGTGGAGGGAGGAATGACGGGCAGATGGAGGGGGGAGGAGAAGGAAGGCTGGACCATTTTACAAAAAGAGAGGGAGAGGGAGCAACCATAACTGGGGGAAACTTAAAACACACCCCAACAGATGACCAAGTTTATGCCATCTATTGCAGTTTCCTGTGAAACCAGTAGATGTCGCTGTTGCCCTACTTCTCTTCACGGTATTAGCTCAGCACTGGCCTTTAAAGCGTCCAGGTCTACCACAGTTGAAACATTTTAGGCTAGCGTCACCTTTTCCTTGCTGTTCCAGTGGTTTAAGGGCAACTGCCATCGCTTCTGCTAGGTAAGTGGCTTTTTCCTCTGGAGTTCCCACCCTAGAACAAGCTTCTATCATGTCCACCAAGGGGGCGGTTCGAAGCAAGGTCTGCAAGATCCTCTTTCAGGTGGAGTTTGCGTTATCCACTGCCAGTTGCATCCCCAGTGCAGCTTATACATCTGAAGAGATTCCCGGAACTTGATAAATTGCATCTCTAAGGCGATCTAGAAAACTCATAAAAGTCTCTTTTGCCTCTTGCTTAATGGTTGAATAGGATGGTGGTGGAAGTCCTATGTCTGGGGCAGCGTGGAATGCTTTCCCTGCCAGCTTCTGAGACTGTTGCAAAATTGCTGTATGTAAACATGCCTGAGTTTGTGGGTTAGCATAAGGCCCTTTCCCCAACATCATGCCTGGGGTGGTAAACTGCCTAGAGTCCCCCTGAGGGAGCCCGAGATTTTCAACCACTGCAGCTGTAATTTCTATAGTTTTCCCCCCCTCCACGCAGCCCCCTCTAGGATCCGACCAGCTCAGAGATATGGGGCTGTGAGGGGAGGAAATACCAGGAGAGGGAAAAGTATTCAAAAGAGGCCCTTACCCCAGGGAAGTTGGAACAGCCCTCTTTATTCTGTGGTGTCCATGGAGAGCGGGGCAAAAGAGAAAGAGCAGGAAGTTTCAGGGGTCTATATAGGTTTTGGACAGGGTGGGCTCTCCTGGCTCCCTGCCAACCCTGTTGGGGCAGGGAGGAGGGTCCAGGGGTTATCATGATCAGAGCCACAGAGGCTCAGGGAAAGGGGGGACAAAAGGGTGTCCAGGAGCTCACCGTAACACCTCTCCCTTATGTGTTAACAAGGTTACAGGAATTCACTGGGCTCAATTCAACCCCGAGTATGGGTTTCCCACCACCCCATGTTGGTGGCGTAGTCAGGCCTCCTCAGGTTAGCCAACTCTATGTGGTTGACCTCTGAGGTAGAAGGTATGAGGCCCTTGATAGCCTTGAAAATCAAGTGACGCAGGACCCCGAACGCTAGGGTTACAAAGAACAGAATAACAAAGACTAACAAAATTGATCTAACGACAGATGTCCACCACCCCGTGAATCCCCATCCCTTGAACATTTTCTTCAGCATTTGCAGGATGACAACTTGCATGGGGTTCATCACAGGGTTGAGTGGAAGGTAGGTTTTCTCTAAAAGGGAAAAACAAACATTTTAAGAACATGTTAAAGTTTCTGTTTCTGCCGGAAGGAACTCATGCCTAGCAACTTTCTTCTTCTCCCATCCGGCGGCGTCTTCTCTTTGAAGCATCAGATAGTTGCTTCTTGTCCCCTTCTGTTTGACCTGGATTCTTGGGGACAAAAGGTTTCACCCACTTCTGGGGAATCCACCGAGGGCCTGAGGGAGTAGCTACACATGCATAGCCACGACCCCAGGTTACAAGTCCATAGGGACCCTTGGTTTCCCAAGTTTCCGGATCCCTAATTAAGACCGGGGGATGCTGAGACAATTTGAACTGGTTGCCACTGTTAAAGTGACGCACAACCTGTGGACTCATATTTTCAAATGAACAATTCAGAAAATTGATAGTAAACATAGCTTTACAGAGTTTTTCTCGTGGAGACATCCACGGAGCTGAGCTGTTTTGTTTTTTCAATACCTGCTTGAGCGTCTGGTGTGCACGCTCGACTACAGCTTGACCTCTGGGGGAGTGGGCAATGCCAGTCTTATGTTCCACTCCCCACTGTTGGAGAAATTCCAGGAACTCCTTGGATACATACGCTGGGCCATTATCTGTTTTGATCGTTTTTGGCACCCCCAATACTGAAAATGCTTGCACTAGGTGTTGTTTGACATGTGCAGCCTTTTGTCCTATATGGGCAGAGGCATACACTGCACCTGAGAATGTGTCCATGCTTACATGAACGCATTTAAGGCGACCAAAACTCTGAATGTGTGTGATGTGCATCTGCCATACCTCACAGCTGCCAAGGCCTCTGGGGTTTACCCCCATGCCTAGCGATGGCACGGCCTGGAGCTGACAATTAGGACAGTTGGTCACAATGGCTCGGGCCTGACTCCGTGTTAGCTGGAACTGTCGAATCAAACCTGGTACATTCTGGTGGTAATGCTCGTGACTCAGCTTTGCCTGTTGGAAAACATCAGGGAGACTTGCCTTTTCGACTGGTGCAGCGAAGGAGTCTGCTTTTCGGTTCCCCTCTGCAATCTCACCTGGCAAATCAGTGTGTGACCTCACATGCATCACAAAGAATAGATGTTCTCGGTGCGAGATTAAATAAATTAGCCTTGAGAGTAACCAGAAGAGATGTTCATTTTCTATTTCTCTGAGCACAGCCTGCTCCGCCCTGGACACTATACCTGCCACATAGGCAGAGTCTGTCACCAAGTTGAACGGCTCGGAAAACTTCTCAAAAGCTCTCACCACTGCAGCCAGTTCAGCCACCTGGGGGGATCCCTCCACAAGCTCAACATCAGCTTCCCAAAGCTGAGTCTGTGGATTTCTCCAAGTCATCACCGACTTGTGGGAAGCCCCAGAGTCATCAGTGAACACTGTGAGAGCTCTGAGTGCCCTCCGGCTCCTTTTCTCTTGAGGAATAAGGTGGAATTCCTCATTGAACAACTTGTGAGATGGGGCATGGACTGATATTTGTCCCCTATAGCTGTCCAGAGATAGCTGGAGACTGGCACTGCTCTGGAGCAAATGCTCAAACATCCCTTTGGTCAGTCTCTCAGAAGAGTTCCTTCCCTCCTCAGAAAGCCTGACTGGAAGGTGGATACATACAAAGTCACACCCTGCTAATTCACACAGCCTCACCCTGGCCTTCTGAATCAGCTTTGCTATCAGCTCTTGTGGCCTAGTGATGGTTTTGGATCTTTGGAGCGATAGGAAAACCCATTCTATGATTAAGAGTGGGTCCTTCTGCCCCTTGATCCATTGGAAAATCAGTCCGTGCAGGTGTGGCAGCTTTCCTAGAACAATGAACTGGAAAGGCAGATTTGGGTCACACCTGTGTGCCTGCCTTTCTGACAAGGCCTTCTGTACCTTTTCGATTGCTGTCTTTGCCTCTGGAGTCAGTTCCCTGGGGGAGGCCAGCTCCCTCTCCCCCTTCAATAAATTGAAAAGAGGTTCCAGATCTTCATTCCTGAGGCCTAGCCAGGGCCTTACCCAATTTAAAGACCCACACAGCGAGTGGAGGTCTGCTAGTGTTCTGGGGTTGCAATTTATCTCCAATTTCTGTGGGACAATAGTCCTTGCAGAAATTTCCAGGCCCAGGTATCTCCAAGGTGGCATTCTTTGAACTTTGTCTTTCTGCAATTGGAATCCAGCAGAGGTTAAAACTTTAACCACTAGGTCAAGTGTATATTGGAGTATAGAGTCATTGGGAGCACACACAAGCACGTCATCCATATAGTGTAGGATGATGGCATCCTTTCTCTCTGCACGTACTGGAGACAGTAGCGCTGCTACATACTGTTGGCATATGAAAGGGCTGGATTTTAAACCTTGGGGCAAAACTTTCCAGTGGTAGCGTTTCATCGGGGCTTCTCTATTGACAGTAGGAACTGAGAATGCAAACCTCGGGGCATCTTCAGGGTGCAATGGAATTTGGAAGAAACAGTCCTTTATATCTAACACAGCCAATTTCCAGTCCTGGGGAAGCATAGCTGGACTCGGCATCCCTGGCTGGAGAGGTCCCATGTCCTCCACAATTTTGTTTATCTCTCTGAGATCGTGGAGCAATCTTCATTTGTCCTTCCCAGGCTTTTTTATTACAAAGACTGGGAAGTTTCAAGGGCTGTCTGTCTCTTGCAGGTGTCCTTGAGCTACCTGCTCCTCCACAAGTTTTTCAAGCGCCTCGAGTTTTTCAAGCGCCTCGAGTTTTTCTCTACTCAAAGGCCCCTGTGCTACCCACTTTGGGGTGTTATCCAACCACTTTAACCTGTGGGCATGGCGCTCCACAGCGGCTACTTCCGAAAATCCTGGGGTGTCTTAGGAATGATTAATTGGACTCCCCACTGGGACATGGTGTCTCTCCCGCACAGAGGAGCCTCATAGTCTGCCACAAACGGGCGAACACTTGCCGATTTCCCATCAGGTCCCTCAATTTGCACTACATTTTTAGAAATTTTTGCCAATGTAGTTCCTCCTATACCCTGAAGTTTGCCTGCCACAGGTTGCAATTCCCAGTGTGATGGCCA